TACGTCCTTAAAGTCAAAAGAGATCTCAACAATGCTGTTTTAGTGAGCTTATTTGTCGTCGGAGACTGGGTAATGATGAAAGACTGCCACGATTAAGTTCAGAAATGATAGTATGTGCTACATTTGATCCTGGGTTGTATAACATATTTGTTACTGCAGGTCACCCATCCACGAGGAGCAGAAGGAGGGACGCATCTAGTTGGCCATCAAGGACCTGCTCTGCTCCTCTTCCTTGACCATCTGTACCACCACGTTCCCGGGCTTCCAAGGCGCTCCAGCACACCGCCGCCATGCCTCCTCTGCTCTCCGGGCTTGGACCAATCGCTCGCCCCTTCAGGTACACACGTCTCCTGCTATTATCTCAACCCTGTGAGTGCCAACTTGCCTCTTTCCTGCGGAGAGTGTTGATTGAATTGCTTCTGATACATGTATGTGGGTGTGTGTGCAGCCCAAGCCCTGCAGCAGCCGACGTGGGTTCAGGTGTCCCCCTCCCCTGATGGCTATAAATCTGCCATGCTCGGCTAATTCTATGTGAGCACTGTTAGGCATCCATTTGTATTTGCAAATTAGCAACAGCTTGCAGAATATGTGCCGTCCAAAGCATTGCCTTAATACGATATGCGTATCATTAGCTGATATCCATATGGAGATAGTTTAGCAGATGAAGAAATAAACACCTATGTTTCTTGGTTCGTGAAATTGCATTGGAGAGATGGGTCTATTATATATAGGCGATACATTACACTAGTTGAATTTGACCATGCACCAACTCCAACAAGTCATACATGCATGCCAATTGTTATTAGCTTCAAAACCTAGTCGATGCCTTCTTGCACTAGGTACACCCCTGAATTTTTGTCATTTACAACCTGATCGATGTACAACCTATTTGCTTGAAAGTAATTTTAGTTGTTTCTTTGTTGGAGCGCTAAGACTATGCGTGGAACATTAGTTTTTATTATCTCAAACTACCGCCGTGTGATTATGCAGGTGCCTAGTTTGTTTTTATTATGTAAAACTACCTCCCTGGTATGCTTCCCTGTTACTACTATATCATCATGGCAAAGCTAACATCTCATTGTGCTCTTTTTCATTTCAGAAGTCAGCCTCCGGCCATGGCGGATCTGCAGACGCCGCTGGTGCAACCAAAGAGGAAGAAGGTTCTGGTGGACTACATGCTACAGTTTGCTTCAGCTCGTGCGGATAGGAGGTGGATGCCCGCACGGATCCGGCGTCTCCGACCATGGCATCCACAAGGAGGAGCGGCGACAATTACATACCCAACCATGGGGCAGCAGCAATTCATGGTTGAGCCTCCCTCTACCTCTCTCACGTTCCCTGATTTTGCTACTGCTCTAAATTCACTTTCACTTGACTGAATCTAGTGTTACTGCTGTCAGTCCCTAGCCCCTAGTGCTACTGCTCTAAATTCACTTACATGTTTGACTAAATTCACTTGGTATTGCACTGCTTGCCAAATTGAGTTGCTTTCTCGCTGCCAGAAAAAGTCAATACTCCCTAGTGTTGAATCGGTATTTACATGCTTGTAAATATTGGTCAGAATTTGCGATGCTCCCTAAAGTTGACTAAATTTCATGGATTAGATTTCATTTTACCAATTGGCCTGAATCTATTTATACGCTTTATTGAATTTTGCTTGGTGCTGTCGCCGTCGGACTCTCATGCTGAATCAGTTGGACAGTGCATTCTTTGCCAGTTCATTTTACCAATTCATGCTGAATTGTTGTTTAGTTGTAATTCCTTTTACTGTCCCATGCACAAGTGATATTCATGTCCAGCCAAATGATATCTTCTGCTTTCCAAAGTGATATGTACCCAACTGCTTATATACGTATTTTCTTCTTAACTGTAGATTTCCTCTCACAGTAGCTCCATGCAAAAGAAGGTTGAAAGGATAAGGAGAAGGACTGAAGGAGGTCCATGTTGAAGAAGGTCGACAGAAGCAGCAGAGCTTGTAATACTGTCATTGCCATTGTATTTGTGTTGTATGATGTATCCACGTTTACCCACAAAAAAATGTATTCACGTTGTAATACTGTGATTGCCATTCTGGCTATTATTTCAAGCAGTGTATTTTGCCAATGCTGATTTAGATATTTATTACTTATTTACTATGAAATGAAATCTAAAGAACTTGACCCTGACAATCAGGTCCTATTACTAGAAACTGACAATTGGGACCAATCTTCTGAGAAAAAGAAAAACTGAAACTCTTGGGACAAATGTAAAACAGTGGAAAATAAAATGGCAAAAAATAAAAGATCATACGCTGTAAAAGGCTGCATCTAGAAATAAAAAGGCTGAATTGCTGGGGCAGCCCATGTAGCTAGCAAAAATTAATAGGAAAAATAAATATTAAAAAGGCCGAATTAATGGGCTCGGCCCATATAAACACCGAATTGGACCGGGCTGAATCTTGTGCCACGTCAGATTGCCACGCTGGATGCCTATGTGGCCTGGGGAGGTTGCTAGTGACCAAAACAAAACAGTAGACGTATTTTGGTCGTAAACGTCTTCGACCATTCTAGAAGAAAGGTCGCTATAGTCAGTTTATGACCGCCAGCTTTTGACCTTCTGTTTTTGGTCACAAAAAGGTCGCAAATGAAAAACCATGACCTTTCAGTGACCAATAGTGGTGGTCACAAGTTGACATATTTCTTGTAGTGAAGGTTCGAACGCAGCCACATTCCCGGCCGGCGCGCTACAGGAAGTAGTGGCCACCGGGCACAACCGTGAGCCTCCAGGCCACCTCCGAAGAGGGGCCGACCCGAAGCTGGCAAGAGTGGAGGGGGTCGGGGTGGGGAGGGGGCGCAGCAAGGAGGGCGCGCCTGGCCGCCACGTCGGGACGGCCGGGGAACACCACAACTAGCTGGGGGAGGCCCCAGATCCAACCGGGGCGGAATTGCACAACGTGCCAAGAGCCGGGGCGAGGCCACCCGCTACAGCAGCAGGTCGGGGAAGAGGTCGCCGGGGGGGCGCTAGGGGAGGCCGCCTCCGCCGCCGGTGTGGGCCGCCGGCGCCACCAGGAACAGATCTGGGAGCGTGGTAGGTCAGAGGGCAGGTGGGCAAGGGAGGGGGGAGGGGGCTGTTCCCCCCTCCCCCCCTCCCGCCCCCGCCGCCATCCCAGGGCCCGTCGCGGCTTCGCCGGCCGGCCCTCCGGCGACGGCGACGCCGGGTAGGGGCGAGGAGGGTGGCGAGCCGGCGGCGGCTGGGTTCCCTCGAGTCGCCCGGGTCGGGCGACGCGAGGGTCAGGCTTCGTCGATCCTGGTCGCTTCCTCGGTTGCGCTCAGATTGTCCCTAAACTTGTTTTATGATGAAATCATTAATTAACACTTAAAATTCATTAACATTCCCTATGGATTTCTTTGTGTTTAATCTCCTTCAATCTCCAAGGAAACTAAGTGAGATTTATCTTACAGATCTTCCCACATTTGAGGAGACTAATTTTAAATACATGCTGCTCTTATACTTCTTTCCCCGCAATGCAATGCCTTGCCGAATCTCGCTTTCTTACTGTCAATTTATCGCACCTAACTGCTCCGACCTCATCTCTCAGACCGGCATGGATTTTTCAGCACGAAGGAGAGAACTAAATTGGATGCTTGAAAAGAGAGTTTCATTATAAGCCACAACAATAAGAAACACTATGGCACGAACAGTACGAGCAGTGGCAAACACAGGCACAAGCAGCAAAAATGGTGCGGTAATACATCCTGAAAGATCAGAGGAATCCAGACACAATGCACAATCAGCAGAAACAGGAGCGCTCAAGGACATCCTATCGAAAATGACACCAAGGCCCTAGCAAATTTGTCGGACACCGAGGCTTTAACAGAGTGCCCTGACCCGCGATCATGAGTTTTTAACCTTTGTAAGAAACAGTTTTGGCAGACATGCTGATAGCTACTAGCAACCGAAACGACAAAGAAGCATCCACATTTGTACTGTATAAACATGGATCCCTGGAAAAACCGCATGTTATGTGACATGACCTCATCAATCGCCTTTTTATGTACAGAAAATTAAAATTGACCGCCTTTCCTTCTAGTATTTCTACTGTAGCACCATCTCAGCATTTCCGAAGTGTGTCCCCTCATTGCACCTATGCATCGTTGCTCAACGAAACATAAGGAAATACTCCCTCCGTTACTAAATATTTGTCTTTCTATATATTTCAAGAAGTGACTGCATATGGAGCAAAATGAGTGAATCTACACTTTAAAATATGTCTATATACATCCGTATGTGGTAGTCCATTTGAGATCTCTAAAAAGACAAATACTCCCTCTGTAAACTAATATAGGAACGGAGGGAGTAGCATGCACACACATGTCCAAAATAAGAGATATAGAAACAGAGCAAGCCTATCTACAAAACAGACAGGCAAGTTACAACAGCAACAACTAAAGGCAGCAACCGTATCACAATGAAAGTGAATACCCGAGCATTATGAATCACAAACCAAGTCTTTTATTTAATCGGGTTCACAACATGCACATACGAATTATAACAGCAGTACATAACTGAAACAAATCACACCAAAATTAGTCTGAATATGTAAACACAGGTCGCACGCAGCCTTACAGTAAATGTCATCTAATTTGAAAGCCACAACCGGAAATCATCAACAAGCAATGTAATCACACTTCATATGTACACGGACAACAGCAGCAGTAGTACATCTTGTAAAAGCGGAGGAGATATAGACGGTATTGTAGTATATCGGCACCAGCACGAATGCAATACTAATACCGCATAATGCACCTTCAGATGCATTGACGCCTGTACTCACTGCATGCGGCCCAAATAATGAACCATTTCCCTTCTGGCTGTCGACCTGCATAACCAACACCATATCACATCAAAAATGTTAAATTAGTAAGATTAGAGTACAGGGAGAAAACAAATAATGCTTATAGCTAGTTGGCAGGTTAGTGCCTAGCTTACATACCTACACATTTCCGGACCAGTGTGGCAAGTCAACGTCGGAGAGTATGCTGCCACTGTGTCCCTTCAATTGCAGAACATCCGCGCAGCACCGACAAGAAGTCATTGGTAATTTGACGGAAGGTTAGATACTGGAGGGACAGGAGGAACTCAATGCCCGGTGGAACCTCAGTCATGCTGTTGAGGTTGGTTAAGTATAATTTTTCCAGGCTCGCCATGGCACCTTGCTGTATCTCTAGCCGATTCAGATTAGGCAAGTCTCTTAGAAAGAGAATCTTTAGCTTGGGAAACCAACCTGAGAGAAATGTCAGCTGCTCTCCATTGTATGCTCTTGTGAACTGTAGACACGTCAAGTTTGACAACCGGGAAAGGGATGGCAGGGGGTCTTCTCTCAATTGTGACCAATATAGAGACAATTCATACAAGTTCTGCCCGCCTACACCTTGGAAGAGAGGAGACTCATCCAATGACCATTCTGCTAACCGTCCTCTCAGACGTAGCTTTTGCAGGCTTGGCAGGAGGACATTCAATAGGAGAACCTCATTCCCATCACTTGCATTCACAGATAGCAAGGACAAATGCCGCATTTGAACTAGAGATTCACTGATACGTCCACAATAGCTTCCTTTCACATTTAATAACCTCAAGCTCCTTAGTTGCCTCAGCTCCCCTAGTAGTCTAAGAGACTCATCTTGTGCTTCCAACGCGTATAGCGTCTGCAGGTTTGTTAGATTTCCGAGATCATTGGGGATACACACACCATGGCAACATGCAATTCCTCTCCAATCCGGATCAATAGTTTTCTCAGCAAATAAGTGTCTGAGCTTCTTCAGTTTCACAATCCCACTAGGCAACTCATGTATGTCAGATCTATAAAGGTCCAGTGTCAACAAATTCGAAAGCTTCGTAACAGACTTCGGGAGTAACTTCACTTTTGTATTACGCAAACCCAAATGGCGAAGATTAAAAAGATCACCAATAGCATTTGGAATCCTATCGAAGGGTAGACCACTTAATTCTAGCACTGTCATATATCTCGACTTATCACATAGCCGAGGTAGTAGATCCAATGTCGACTTGCTACCGCCCAATGTAATGACAGTTCGAAGTTGGTGCATATTGGAAAATGGTTGTTGCATGTCATTTTTTAGTTTATGCAGCACCAATCGACGCCCATCATCCTTCTGAAGAGACTCCCCACATTTATTCTCATTTTTAACACAAAAGCAGTTCTTCTGGCACAAGTCCATTGCCAATTCACGTAAGATATCGTGCATTCTGAATTTCTTCATCCTACCAAAACTGTTCCTTTTAACAAGTCGTAGCATGTTTCTATCAATCAACTCCTTCAGATAGCCTTCTGCCACTTCTTCTAATGTGCTTTCACCCCTCTCCTCGATGAACCCCTCGGCTGTCCATAATCGTACAAGTTCTTTCCTTTTGAAAAGATAGTCTTCAGGAAACAAGCTGCAGTACAAGAAACAATTTTTCAAGTGTGTTGGAAGGTATATGAAGCTCAGATGCAAAACATTCCTTATATCACTAAGACTAGAATTATTAACTAGCTCCCAACTCAATTGGTTATTTATTCTTCTCCATTCTTCCATACTTTTCTCACGCACACGCAATAGGCTACCAACTGACACAATAGCAAGAGGCAAGCCTTTGCACTTGCTAACTATTTCCTCGGATAAAGGCTTCAACTCCACATTGCATTCATGATTTGTATCTCTTGGAAAGGCTTTCTTACAAAAGAGGTCCCATGCCTTGTCTTCTGGTAAAGCTTCCATTGTTAAGATATGCCCTCGAGAGGCAAGCGCAGCAACACTGCCTTCCCTTGTTGTGATAATCAATCTACTGCCCTTATCATTTTGAGCAAGTGCCCTAGACAAGTCATCAAATGCTTCTGGAGTCCAAACATCATCCAACACAATCAAATACTTATGTTGCTCCAGAAACTTCTTCACCGTCTCTTCAAGGCACGTGATGTCCATAGCCACAGTGCTACATAGAACACTGACATTATGTTCAAAAAGTTTCTTGATTATATTCCTCAAGACATCTTCTTTAGAATAATTTTGAGAGATGGAGACCCAAACATGACACTGGAATTTCTCTCTCACCTTCTTGTAGACACTTGCAGCTAAAGTTGTTTTACCAAGCCCTCCCATTCCGAGCAATGCTACCACAGAGCGTTCTAGATCATCACCTGCCAACCACATCACAAGTTTTTCTTTGTTTTCATCCACCCCCACTAGATCTTCATCATCAAGCGAGCGTGAGATGTTTGCTAGATCTTGGGACCTCTCGACGATATAATTTGAGCTGCCAGTATCCCCACCGTTCACAAGAACCCAACGGTTTTTTGTCTCATACAGGTGTGAAAGGTCTTTCTCTATTTCCTTCACGTTGAAAGCTATCATGTTCAAAGAAAGCAGAGATCTTGGTTTTTTGAACCCTTTATTCAAGTAAAAGCAACACCCTATATCATGTTCCCGACCAACTTGATACAAATACTCATCCACCGTGTCCTCCATCAAATGTGCTACTTTTCGTACTTCCCCCAACCAGCTCTCTTGCACTTGTAAGTTGCGGTTTCGAATGTCCATTTGACAAAGAAAATCATGCATTACGCGAAGCTCCCTCATGACACGATCCATGCTGCGCTGTAACTCCTGCAGTTGTGTCTTGTACTTTCCAACCAACGCGCTGGCTTGGTGTGCCGCTCCATTTGCCAAGGCAATTCCAATCTTTTTAATGGCTAGAAGAATCACAATCTCCGCCATTAGCTTCTGATATATGCCAATGTCTCACTGTTGGCTAGGGACCCAGCTGTATACTATTCCGCAATATAATTAGAGTCGCCACTGCAAAATGAAGTAACAGATGTATTAATTAAATTTTCAGTCCATTCTGCTAGCATTTACCAAAACATTTAAACAAAAACCTTTCAAAGTAATCCTCCTAAACTCCATTTCTAACCCACACAAATACATACTCAAACAAAACTGTACTTACAACAGGCTGATGCATAAGAATTTTAAAACACTCAGGACTATGCTATAGTCAACTGCAACAAACTTAACTTCATTAAATGACAAGAACTAGTGAAAGTCGACCAAAAAACTGATCTTGCATGCTCTGTTTTTATATAGGGACATCTCAAGTTAAAACTCCCCAAATGATATAATTTTATAACCAAATAAGGCAAAGAGGGGGCAAAGCTACAATACCTACCAGTTCGCCAACTGTTGAAAGTTGGCTAATGTGACAATTGCACGTAACTTACCTCCATATTTTTCTCAACGCCTATCTAATAGTATCTCCAGATGTATGGAGAAATAAATAGCTAGAGTTATATATTTAGCTACAAGAAATAAAGATGTATTGAATCAAGAATGTTAATAATAAAGTAAAGCTATAATGTTTCGATGGAACCTCGTCGGAGGGCGGGGAGCTCCCGCCTTGCATCGTTAAATAGAGAGTTGGTCCAGCTTATGAGGAAAAGCATGCCGAAACCCAAGCATCACTGCAAGACTACCTAGCTAGAGTAGGTATGGGGTGGCGCTGAACAAACCGGACATGCAACAGTAGGCAACATAGCCGTCGGGACCCTGCCACCGGAGAGAGAAGACAGAACATCAAGGGAAGTTAATCCGGGCTTAACTGACCACACGAAGAACAGTGAACCACACCACCAAGCCAGTGATGCTCGACCATCGAACCCACTCGAAATCACCAGCATCCCACCGGAGAAAGTCACTGCTGGCGACGCTCCCCGATCCTCATCTTCCAGTAAATGATGCCTCCATGGAGGAAAACTGACATGAAGAAAACGCCGCCACCATACAATCTAGTTATTGTTCAAGGATTTCACCTGGAAGACAAACCCCGTGGTTGGAGGCGGTTTGAGACTCCATAGAGACACCATCAAGATGGAATGTACTAGAAGAGTGTTGCCATCACCGAGCGCCGACAAAGTCAAGTTAAACTTTCGTCTGGATCACCACAAAAAACCACCATCACTAAACTCTTGAGAGTATAGTGCACTGCGCCGCTAGCTCTCGACGCCTCCAAGGAGCCAATGTTCTCACCGGAATTGCCGCTGACCAATCCACTTATGTCCACGAAACCAACAGCACATCACCACCGACCCAAAGCCGCCACTCCGGCATCCACCCGCAGACCAAAGCAACTTCTTGCCCACACCTAAAATTGAGGGATGAGGGGGCACCGCCACCAGGGCCACTGCATCCGGCCGCTCCATCACCTTCCCATTACCCGGGCGCATTAAACTAGCCCTCACGGGCCCAGATCTAGCTCCTTGGGTCACACACACAGCGCACCACCACAAGGCACCCCTTGTGTAGCCACACCTTCTGCTCCACCATAACATGGTCACCAGCGCAGACTGCCCCAACCACCGTGCTCCTCTACTCCTTCCATAGTGCCGCTCACACAAAAGAGAGAGCCCCCTGTTGCCGTCCGCTGGTGAGGGCATTCCAACCAGCATCCTCTGAAGGTAGCTAGGGGTCGAATGGGATGGCTGGGGACTTAGCTGATGGGTAGGTTTTTGCCACCCGAGTTGCCCCTAGTTGCATGTAACCCCTTAAGTGTGTAGTGTTGGTACCATATGATTAGTGCGACTAACACTTTTAATTAAGTGATTCTCGGCTACTTAGTCTCATATGACGAAAAGGATGGAGGTGAGATACCCCCACTAATTAAAAAGGGAAAATGTGACTGTAAGTTCAAACCCCCCGAAAGATTTCAGTTTATCAAGTGGTTGGAAAGCCGCACTATTAAGAGTATTGAGGTAATTAATAGGTGTGGGGATCATAATACACGTTCTTCATCTAAACCCCCACAAAAAATCCATACACAAATCCTCTCTCAAAAATAAACCTTGGTACCTCACTTGATATCCCGAATCTCTGGGTCTAGTTGGCATCGCCTCTGGACACCTAAAAATATTGCCCTCTGACCCCTAGATCTCGGGGGTAACAAATGGCTCCAAGGGTCACATATGTTTTGGTTTCGGATAGACCAGATTTCTATGGCTCCGAACCACGGGATCTTCGGGGTGCACCACATGTGAGGATAATGGTTGGTTTTGAGGGGAGTTATATAAGCCCACCCCTCTTCTTTCTCTAGACCTAGTCCTCCAAATTTGAGCTGCCCACCATTGTTGACACCTTCAAAGCTCATTTCCCATTGATTCCTCCAACCAAACTCCATCAAACTTAGATGATTCAAAGAAGAACCCTAGACCTAAACTTCCACCAAATCAAATCGTGACCCCCTTGCTTGCGCAAAACCAAACTTGTTACTCTGGTAGTTGCGCCTAGGAGTCCATCCTAGAACCTTCCTTGCTTGTGG